AATCTTCTCCAGTATCGTTTCCAATATCAGACCAGCGAGGGTAACTCCCTGCCATACAAGAACGAAGCAGCCTTTTCTCAATGTCGCAGCAACAAACTGAGAGAGAAAATAGTATTCATGAATGCGAAGCTTCTACTTGCATTATACTGTCTGCGTATTTGAATATTCGTCCCAAGGGGCCTTCTTTCCCGTAGCCACCCCTGAGCCCGAACAAGCATCCGTATCAAAGATTCAGCATTAGGATAGAAAGATGGAAAAGGGGAGGGGGTGTCCTTTAACACTCCTCCTTGGTACTACCACAAGGGCCGTACCACTGTACCTGATACACCCGACCTAAACCACTAAGCCAGGCCGGCGCCCACACGACAACGAAACGAACGAGGAAAGAAGAAATGACACGGCAAGTCCGAAGGCGAGAGGAATATGGTAGAGATCAACCAAAGGAGCCTATCCTATGGATTACCCAATCCTATCCTATGAAGACAATTTCGGCAGAAAGCGCGAGTCTACCGGTAGGCTGGAACGCCCAGCGATGAATAGTCATCGTGCAGGTGAACAACTCCACCTCGCTGCATGGTGGTCATGATTGATCCAGTGGGAATGCCTCGGTTTAAGGCAGACAAAGGAATTGCCAGGTCACCGGAATGCACGGTTTGCACTTCCTGGTCCACAAGAGTTGGAGGTCGAGCGTGAGAGCCCTTCGAGGGCCCGGAATTCACGGTACTCATGACCATCGTCGGAACACGCTCGAGAGAGATTTGGTGAGGCCTGGAGACTGCTCCGAGCGCTACGGCCTGCGGAAGAAGATAACTGACCTGGATAGGCCTGGGAAAAAGGGGCATGATCCATAGTAGAGGCTGACTCGCTCTCAGGAGACGCAGGAGCCCCGGAAGAGGTTGGGGCTGCGCCTCGATGGCGAAGACCTTGGATCTCCCGAGCTACAGCCTCCTGCACTTTCTCTTCAATTTTCTTGCTCTTTCGGGTCTGGGATGGAACAGCTTTGGCTTGCGCGGTAAGAGGCTGCGGTCGACTACATCGATGCACCCCTTCCCAGCAGCATAGGGCAACTAGCAACACAATCAACAGTCCAAGGTAGGTGGCCAATGTGAAATCCACTCGGATTCCTAAGGGGACTCCTTCCGCCGCCTCCTCCTCAACCCCGGGTGCAACGGTGAGTGCCCTTTCCCCAGCGCATGAGGTAGCCTGGCAAAACGTCACTAGCCCAGTCAACCATCTTGACACGCTGGCAAGCACAGAAGGAGAAGCCACAGAACGAGGACTTGACAAATCCCTGGCGACATCCGCTGAGGCAATTTGCGGACTCGGGGCTTCATCTGCAACAGTATCTTCATCCACAGTGTCCTCTCCCAGGTCCGGACCGGGGTTCTCAGAGCGGAGCTTTAACAGCTGTTTCAAGAAACACAACCGCGGTGAAGGGAGTATCTTTGTGAAAGCGTCAGCTAACTGCTCCTTCCCCGGTTGATGCTCAACCGCGACCTCGCCAGATTCGATCAGCTCCGACACGTACGCGGCTCTGTCACGGAGATGACGGGTATTGGCTTTCCGTTCATGAAGGAGGTGGATTGCCGAGGTGTTGTCCACCCGCAGCGCAACCTGCTTACAGATGGTTCCCAACTCCTGGAGGAGGGGCAGGAGACTCTGGGCCTGAACGACTCCTTCGGTTGCAGATACCAGCTCTGCTTCCGAGGAGGATAAGACCACGAAAGCCTGCTTATTTGCCCGCCACGAAACTAGACAGCCCTGAACCACTAACTATAGCCAAGCCCGAAACCGACCGACCGCCATATGGCGAGAATGATGCGTCGGTGTAGCATACGAGTGGTGGCTCTCCACGTAAACTCTGGCGTTCAAAATGCAAGCACTCCTCCTTAGTCGAGGCCACATAGGAAAGCACACGGAGGGCCAACTTTATCACCTCCTGCGCGTTGCGATGCACCCATGATGCAAGCAGGGATACTGAAAAACTGACATCAGGACGAGAACGCTGGGAGATCCATAAGAGTTCTCCCAGCACTTTTTGCGCTTGCTTCAAGGATTCTGGCGAGGAGGGCACCACGTCTGGCTCCTCCTGAATTCGTGGCAGAGGTGTCCTCACAGGGTGGCCGACATCGTAAGCAGACAGGAGTTGCTCGATGTAAGGCCTTTGGTGCACACGATAACCTTGAGGAAGCCTTTCAATCTCCATACCCAAGAACTTCAAACTATCTCCTGGCTGCTCGCAACCTTCAAGTTCTGACGAGGCCCACCCAAACTCTGAGGAAAGGTGCGAACGGAATCCAGAGGCCATTGCGCGGTTACCAAGGATCAGGAAGTCATCAACGTATGTGACGGCTATGCCACAGGTGGCACCCTTGTCATCTTTGACAGTCCACATGGAATCGCACGAAGTGGCTTCAAGGTGATAGTTGTCCCACGCTGCGGTACGGAGACAACTATCCCGGTAGGTTGACCACCACTTTGGACTCTCCCGGAGTCCGTAGACTGCCCGGTTGACTTCCCACAGTTCCGTGGGGGAGGCCAACCCTAATGACACATGCTCCCGGGTTGGTCGGAGAAGTATGGTTCGCTGCTCTGGCTTTGGCGCCAGCAGGAACGCCTGGGAGATGTCTGTTGTAAAGGCATCCCAACCGTTATTTGCTGCCAAGCTCAAGGCTAACCAGCTCTGGCACCAGAGGCGTAAGTGTTCACTTCACTGGTGACCTCGCTTTGATTTCCACAGGCCACGGTCCTGACTTTTCGCCTGTACATCTTGTTGCTGTTGGGCTTGGGTGGCTTGACGGTCCACACATTCAGGCTGCTCAAGACTTCAGCGTCCGGACGCTTCAAAAGCTGTCGTGCTTCCTCTCCGTCTCGGCGAGTCAAACAACCTGAAGCCAACTGACCATTCAGTTCTTCCTCCATCGATTCCTTCCATTTTTCCAAGTGCTGCCTGGCCTCCTTTGGAGAAGCTTCGTGAGTGATCTCCAACTTGCGCTCATTGGCGTCGAGGTCCGCCAGATGAGCTTCTATGTGTTCGATGACCGCGGGCTCAACTGACTTAAGCTGGGAAGGTCCGGAAGTGATCCTAGGACTTGGGTCAGCTCGAGTGGCTGAAAGGCGTGGAAGCCAAGCAGGACAAGCCCTGGCAGCTGGGATTACCTCACCCTTCTTCTCAGAAATCGCCTGGAGGTTTGGGAGACTGGCATTTGAGCCGGTGGCAGGTTCAGAGATGGTAGTCGTGTTGGAGGCTGGCACCTGATTGCCTTGAACCTCTGCACCTGGCGCAAGCGGAGAAACACTGACCGCACCTGTTGACAGACCTGCTTCACCTGGCACGCCTGGGACATGCTCCAAGGGTCCGATGCCCTGAGCTGCGACCGGGCGGACTGCACCTGTTGACCGACCTGCTTCACCTGGCACGCCTGGGACATGCTCCAAGGGTCCGATGCCCTGGCACGCCTGGGACATGCTCCAAGGGTCCGATGCCCTGAGCTGCGACCGGGGGGCGGAATGCACCTGTTGGCAGACCTGCTTCACCTGGCACGCCTGGGACATGCTCCAAGGGTCCGATGCCCTGGGAAGAATGCACCTGTTGGCAGACCTAGAACACCTGGCACGCCTCTGGCTGGCACCCGATTGTCCTGAACCTTTGGACCTGAAGGATTGCAGTCGGTCTCGTTCGACGTCGACTGAGAAGCCATTAGGGGTGTAACCGACCACAACCCACTCCGGGGTACGAACCACAGCGTGGGGTATCTTGGGGTTGAACTGGAGGCCTGGCTTTAGGGGCGACAACCAAACTGACCGGCGGGAACTGAAGAAGAGTTCAGCGCCTCTTCTGTCCATAGGTTGGTAATACCCGGTATCACCAGCCCAAAGTTGTGGGAAAGTCCCTATGCGCAGGCACCTCTGGGTTGGCGAAAAGACCCACAGAAACCCAACGAAAAATCTGGTATGCCTTTGGCCTGTGCTTTTCCAAGCAGGAATTGGTTGAGCACCCGAGAAGGGCCCTCGACGAAACCCGCCCAGGTACCTATGGCCGCTAGTTTGTCCGCGTCGCTTCGTGTCTGCAGCTGATTCCTTGACCAAGTGCTGCAGCATCCGGGATACTGTTTGAGGAGTGATGTTTCCAGAGCGCAGTAGCTTTGAAGCTTGCTCTTCAGCCATCAACTCCTGCTCAGCCACCTTGGCCACATACGTTTTTTCTCGGAGACGATGCGGTGGAACAGGCATGACAACTGGCTCTGGGTCCTCAGCCACAAGGGGCTCAAGGAGCTCATCGTCAACGTCAACCAAACCTGCTCGTACGGATCTGCTGGTAATGACGGCCCCGGTGGAATCCTTAAGGATGGGATGACCCTCTGCCGAGATCATTGAACGACCCAAGTAGCAGCCCCACTCCCAGGTGGAAAACACCTTCTTTGCTTCATTCGTCATAGCCTTCGCCCTGAACAACACTTTCCTTCCAAAGGTCAGCTGGGGTGGTCGGACCATCAAGGTGATCTTGTGAGGCGAACTGGGCGGCGTAAGGCCAGAATTGCACAGGGACCTTCCCAGCCGTGAGGTGGAGTCTCATTCGAGCTTTGAACCAGGACACTAGCCGCTCAGCCAAACCGTTCGAATTGGCGTCAGCCCCCTGGGTGTTGCTGGGAACTATACAATTTTGTCGCAACCAGCTTTGGATCTCCTCTGTCTGGCCTTCTTTGTCGCTGTGACAGATTTTTATCGGTATTCCCAACCTGTTGGTCTCAGTCACCACATACTGTATTGCCGACAGAAGAGACTTGGATTGCCTATTCCGAAGAGGAACCGCAAACCTGAGGAGTACCTGGGAAGCGACGATTTTATCGATTTCATCATCTGACATGGAAGGCCCTTCATCCAGCACAGACTCAACCTTAGGCGCAGGTGCTTCCATAGGGGGGAGATGCTCTGGCAGGCCCTCCTCCTCCTCAACAGCCGGTGGCTCAAGCTCGGAGAACAGGATGTCTGGATCGATTTCCCCTCCTTCAGTAGGGGAGTAATCGGAGTTCCAATCATGCTCACCTGGCTGGAGGGACTGCGTGGGTGCAGCCACTTGGTCTGGCGTTGATGACTGCAAGCCCGGAGAACTCGGAGCAGGTTTGTTAACAGAAGGACGGGGCGCTGGGGCTGTTGCATCTCGGAACAGGCAGGTTGGCACCCGAACCCCTGCTACGAACAGGTACCGAAAACCTGAGTGCTTGCCAGTCTTGCCAACTTCACGCGCCCAAATGTAGCAGTGAGCATATCCTGCAGCTCCAAGCCCGAGCTAGCATCCCACCTGTCCTCTGCAAGGACTTCGTGGCAACGATCGTAGGCGGCAAAGGCCACCGCTGGCCCCAACTCAGCCTCCTCCACGATGACTGCGCTCTTGGACCAGGGGCCAAGGAAGGGGAATTGGTAACCACCTCTGGCTCGCCCGCATCGATCACACCCAGCCTGGGTACAGACAATCCGGCGCACCGGAACCTTGGCACCCAAGAAGTCAAAGTCTGTAATCGAAGGGGAGGGTGCCGGTAGGTGTGTAATCTCAGCAACCCGACTCCAGATGGACCACAACTCGTCCTGACAACCCTGACGTGCCAGATCAGACATGTAGGCCCGGAAGTCCAACCAGTTCGCGGAAGCCAAGGTCGGCAAATTTGCGTGAATGACTGTTTCTCCCAGGAAAGAACTGTTCCAGCTTGCCAGTTTGGCTCTAGCCAAGTCTGAAGCCAAAATGTAGCACGCCGGTACATTGCATCCTCAAAATGAAACATGCACACCCAAGGCCTGCCTAACTCAATGCATGTGCATTTGATCCCGATCCCGACCACCCTCTGCGCTGCCATGGACACCCGCTATGCCCCGGAGCAGCAAACCACACTCACGGCTTTCAACCAAAAAGTCTCGGCTGCCGACCATGTGCCTTTTCAGCGCCGACCCACCTCCGACAGCAGCAGCTGTCCGAGGCGCTTGACAAGGCAGCGTTCGCTCAGCTGAGCCTGCCGGCTGTTAATCGCGACACCTTCAGCTCCTGCAGCAGCCCGGCGCGGGCGCCTGGCTCCACGCCCCGCGCTTGGCTTGCACGTGCCACTACGCGACGGTGTGGCGGACAGCCGACCATGCCCGGGTGTGTCCGTGCGGAGGAGACCGCGTCAAGCGCCACAATCGCTTGCGATCAGTGCTGCCAGGCTCAGCCCAGGGGTGGAGAAGCCAAACCTGCTACCCCAGCGCCCGCGGCATTTGACTTTGCGGTCACCTCGGGCTTGCGACAAGGCTTTGATGGGAGACGCTGGCGGAAGCCTTGGCCACTCGCACGACCGAAACGCGGCCGAGAAGGTCAAACTGTTGCAGGCCTTGAGCATCACACTTCAGCGCGAGAACTGGTATGCAGGGCAGGTTGGGACCCGGATGCCACCGCTGCGGCACTAGACCAGCCGTGACCTGTCGCCGATCGCTCCCAGGTCGCTGTTCTGCGCACGCGCAGCGGGGACACGACACCCTGAGCCTTCTGCCCCACTCATATGCAGAATGCTTTTCTTACTATCCTTTTGCAATGCCCTCAGAAGTAGGAGTGGTTGAGAGCCTCTCCTGTTTTGCTCGCGCACCGCCCTCATGGTTGAGAGCCTCCCTGTCATGCGCTCCGCCCTCGGCTTGAGGCTCCAAAATCCATCTGCGCCCGAGGCCCCTGCCCTGCTCGCAGCCGCAGCTCCACCTTAGTGGGGTGCCTTGCACCGTGCTGGTGCTTATTCTGTTTGATGGCCTGTTTACAAGGACCGGGTTTATCTCACATCAGGTCGCCAGAAACACATATCCTCTTTGTGGACGCTACATAGCGGGAATACACATCAGCAGCGGAACGGACACAGCAATCCCCAAGCATACTGGGATTTAGCGAAACAGGCAACATGGCTCAAACTGCCCGATATGCTGCGGACGCCAGCGTTTTCAGGGATAGGTCCATAAAGTAGCCCCCTATGATAGGCGTCGATAGACCCCCTATAGAGACCCCTGTGGTTTTGGGATAGGGTCCTATTGCCTGAGCCTTCTCCGTCCGTGGTGGAACCCTATACATAGGCCCTACCCGTTTCGGCATAGACCCCTATGCATAGACCCCCTTCCTTTTGCCATAGACCGCTATGCGTAGACCCATACCACCTCATGTGGCATAGACCCCTATCCCTTTTCCATAGGACCCTACCCACAAACCCATCGACCCCTATGGTAACAAATGTATCACTTGTGGTCGAGGGAGAGTTTAGGGTTTAGGGTTTTTGTAGGGCTGTTGGGGGGTTTAGAGTTTAGGGGTTTTTAGGGTTTAGGATTTTTTGTTCAGGCCTTAGAGCTTTTTAGGCTTTAGGGGTTTTAGGGTTTGGGGTTTAGGGAGGGTTTCCGCTTTTTTGGGGTTTTAGGGGGTCTATAGGGCTTAAAGACTTTTAGGGTTTAGGGTTTTTTGGGGTTTAAGGTTTAGGGATTTTTCCCCGCATGATGGGTTCGAAAAAGAATTAAGCGGGGGTTGGGGGCTCGCATGATGGGCTTGAAAAACCAGGCCTATGTTTAGGGGTTTTTAGGGTTTAAGGTCTTCGGGGCTTGAAGTTGAGGGTTTTTTAGGGTTTAGGGCTAGGGGTTCTTAGGGTGTAGGGCTTATAGGGCTCCGAGGTTTTTACGGTTTAGGGTTTAGGGTTTGTAGGGTTTAGAGCTCAGGGGTTTTCAGGGTTTAGGGCTTAGGGTTTTTTAAGGGTTGAGGGTTTAGGGCTTAGGGGATTTTAGGGTTTAAGGATTTTTTCTGGGCATAGGGCTGGGTTTAGGGTTTAGGGTTTAGGGTCTAGGGTTTAGGGTCTAGGGTCTAGGGTCTAGGGTTTAGGGTTTAGGGTGCGGAGGTTGCCTTGTATAGGTTGGAAGGGTAAAACACCTGCAAACATATTTGGCTCAAGGATGGCCGGAAGCTGTCCGTTCGCTCTTAAATAGTTAGGCCGCTGGGGTTTGGGGTTTGGTTACAGTAAGAGTCCTTTCCCCTCCCGTTTGGTTCTTCTGGGCCTGAAAGATTTTCTCTTGTGGTTCGGTCTGGGGAATTCATTCAGGGCAACTATTGAGGGTGACATTTGGGCTGGTTCCTTGTCCCCGTGGGTTGCCCCCCGCAGGTTATGAGCCCAAACGGTTCCCTGCGGTGAGGTGTTTCATTCAAGGGTTTGGGTTCAAGAAGCAATGCCTTCCCCCAAACGATGGCTCCAGCCTTCCTCGGATGGTGGTAGAAGTGGTGGAGCTGAAAGTGGTGCAACTGATTCTCTGGCTGAAGAGGCGGCGCTACAAGAAGTGATCCCTGGTGCTGCGGAAGAACAACTGGAGGGAACAACGGTTGCTAGAGGCCCCAATGAGGGTACGGATCCCAATGCGGACATGGTTGACAATGCTGGAGGTGAAGGACGAGCTGTTTCTGTATCGCCAAAGCCTGGGGAAAAGAGGAACTGGGATGAAACTGGTGGTATAGACCGTGAACTGGAGGCGACCGTTTTACGCGTGTTGCTGAGGCATGGGTATCAGCCGTCTACTTCAACTTCGGGTCGAATGGTCGACCAAGAAGTTCAGACCGATCTGAGTGGAGCGGTGCCGCAAGCATCCAGAAAACCTCTTAACAAGATAAAGGGAGGTTCCTCGGCGAGTTCCATGCGCGATGAAGGCGGTGATGTACAGGGAAAAAAGGTGTGGACAGTTTTGAAGCTGCACCTACTGCTGAATACGCCATGGGCGAGGAGGAGATCTTGGAGATGGAGGCGGAGAGGATGCGACAGTTGTCCGAAGAAGCTGAAGAGATACGCCAAGTCTCCGAAGAGAATGGTTTTCGGGAAGAAGGGCATCCTATCGAGGCAAGTGATGGGACAACTTGGGAGCGACATTTCCACAAAGATGGGAGGCCATATTTTTACTGCCTGGATACGGGAGGAACTAGGTGGACACTGCCGGAGGAAGGTGAAAAGATGGAAAGTGACAAGGTGGTTGAGTCTCTTTCAGGCAATGAACTGGAGTTGGAGACGGCACTGGGTCCTTCAGCGTTTACTCCGACAGCTGAGTCTACAAGGGCGTTCCAAGGTATTGTAGATAGTTTAGTAGAAAAAGATTTTTCCTCTACCGTCGGGGATAGCGGTCTAAGGGGCGGTAAAGCTGCTAAGACCTCGGGCTCCCCAAGGGAGGATAGAATTTCTGGAACACAAAAAGATATGGCTGGAGGACACCTGGATCGGAAAAGGAGCAAAGCGCTTTCTGAGGGTGACGCAGCGGTGAAATCTGTGGATCCGGAGGATAAAATTCCCAATGCGGAGGTGAATGCTGTGTCGGCTACAGAGGAGCAGGCGGTGGATGAAGTATCTGGCATTCAGGAGGTTGGTCCTGGAGATGAGGATGATGGAGGAAAAAAGTTGTGTGTTACGACTGAGGAGGTTTCTCCGTCTGGTGCCATGGATTCCGCCATTCAAGGAAAAAATGAGGCTTCTGGA